CCGATCAACAGTCAGCGAATTAATGAACTGATTCCATATTTTAGTTTGGCTGTCTCTGACCTATTTCTTGCTCTAGCCGACTTACGTTTACCTTGCGAATGTAAAGGTGACTAGGCATGTGTAACAGGTCTCAGCCATCTGAGTCTATAAAGGTTCGCGACCTAAGTGCGATTCTGCTGAGTCAGACACATTTTGATGAATGTTAGTTGGAGGCAAACCACAGAAAACCCTGGACCTAGGTTTCGTGCTTTATGGTACTCGCCAGCAAGGCGTATCGTGATGTTGAGTCAGCTAGCTTGGTGGTCACATCGCAGTGATCGACAAAGTTTGATCAGCACATTATTGCATTAGTAACTTCACATACCTGGGAAGTCAGGTCAACCGTGCTGGCTCAATGATTGGAATATAGGCACACATGAAATTGCTCGTATGGTTTTCGCGAAAATACACCACCTGTGGCCCCATTGTGACATTCATTTGTTTACTAATGGTTAAGTGTACTGCTGTCCGCTATGGTATACCATATGACTATGAAACAACCATTACAGCTGGAGGATATGAAAATACTTTGTGTATTTTACCACCGTTGCCTTCATAGCATAGACCGCGTATCGTTGTTTCACCACGTCAGTTATATGGGAGTCAGGTGCAGAGTTTTAAGGAGGAAAGGAGTTATTTGATGCGGTTGTGAACCTATATCAGCTCAGGTGACTGGGACGTGTTACGCATGCCTGATCACTCTTTGCTTCCTCGCTCAATGCTAACTGAAGTAGGTTTAGGGGGTGGTCAGAATAAAACATAGCATCAGTGCATGATTTATTCGGCTATTGGTCTGATCCATGGGAGCAAATACAGGCTTTCCAGTTACGGTCTGTGTGACAACAGAAGCCAGCGGCGGGAGACTATGGATGGCATGGCTCAGAATCGATGTCAGTGGCCTAGATGTATCCACACTTTATCTTAATCGTAATCGTCATACTGAACTCACTAGTGCTTATTCCTCCTTGTTATCTTATAGCGACTTCCTACCACTTTGACTGATGTCTTCTCTATTTCTTTATCTTTCATTTTAATGCTTTCTTGCTTGATTTTCTGATATAATGGCTGGTCCTATGTTAATATTTTGTGCCGGGTTCTACTGTGATTTTGTTTATCTGTATCTGTCTTCCAATCTTGTCCGTCTATGTGACCTCACAAACTGTCTTTCCATAGGTAGCTTCGCATCATTGTTCGCGATGGGTGAAGTCACTATGATCCGTACCAAGGTAAGGTGTAGGATAGTATGCAAATAAGACAATTCAGTCGTCGAACTCGTAAACCTTCAGCAGCTGAGGTGACTTACATACAAAGCCACCGTCTACCTCAATGTACAGTGTTAGCGCAGGTAGGTTTGTGTTGGAAGACAATTAATAATGATCAAACCGATAAACGACACAAGTCCATCAAATCCTTGAATACTTTTCTGAACGGTGTAGGAAGGTTTAGAACTCCTTCCTTTTGAGTGCACTCCTTTTAACAAAGTGATGCACCTCTTTCAGTGAGAGAAACTGTCATAAGATCACTTGAATGACGGATTTAAATGCCGCCTTCTGGTCAAGAAATGCGTTCAGTGTCAGGTTATAGTAAATGTACTTACATTAATTGGTCACTTGAAGGTAATCAACTTCATGTTGTCTACTCTTATGTGCTGATCAAACTTTGTCGATCACTGCGATGTGACCACCAAGCTAGCTGACTCAACATCACGATACGCCTTGCTGGCGAGTACCATAAAGCACGAAACCTAGGTCCAGGGTTTTCTGTGGTTTGCCTCCAACTAACATTCATCAAAATGTGTCTGACTCAGCAGAATCGCACTTAGGTCGCGAACCTTTATAGACTCAGATGGCTGAGACCTGTTACACATGCCTAGTCACCTTTACATTCGCAAGGTAAACGTAAGTCGGCTAGAGCAAGAAATAGGTCAGAGACAGCCAAACTAAAATATGGAATCAGTTCATTAATTCGCTGACTGTTGATCGGAGCAGTGTGAGGAAAAGTAAACTTCCTGGTGGGGATCCGCGATATCATACAGAATCGATCTCAAATACATCCATGCCTTATCGTTATACTCAATTTCACTGTTTTATTAATCGGTCCTCCAGCTCTCGTCAAAGTTGTGAAAGGTTTATGGAGCTTGAAACGACGCAACGCAGCTGAACCTTACAGTTTGCAACTTAGTGTTTCCAAAGATGGAGGTAGGAAATTGCTACTTAAGGTGACGGAGGTGATAGGTAGTGAGTGGGGATCAGAGGTAGTGCCATCAAACTCGTCTACTTCTCTGATCATTCCAGACTATAAGAAGAGAGAGAAGTCTTCCTATGAAAACCGTAAGGAGATCGGTTTAAGTCATATCGTGTCCAAGATACTTGGGTTTATTGTTATCCGACGCCTAACTGGAGCTTGAGAACAGTAAGCTCGAGGAAAGCAGGTGGGTTCGACACCTGCACGAGGGTGCATCGATCATATTTCCACCCTCCAATATGCTTTGGGATATAGGTGTACTTACTGCCGGCCAACACTTGCTTAACATATTTCTTGACATGAAGACAGCATTTGACTATTTCCACCGTGAGTTGTTGTTGCGGTGTCTCACTGTGAAGGGAGTACCGAGCAAATGTATAACGCTAACCAAAGCTCTCTACTCGAACTTATGCAGTCATGTAAGGGGATATACGGAGAGTTGTCATCGGAAATGACGACAACTAATGGTGTCCAGCAGGGATGCCAACTGCCACCGTTCCTACTTAATTTCGTTATGGCTGCACTAATGCATATAACCTTAGGTCCCTCTGACTTCACAGGGATTGATCCACTCCCTGGAAGGCACGGGATTGACTTGGAATATACAGGATGCATTGTCCTGCCACGTGAAGACACTAACAAATGCAGGGTCCTCTGAACGCGTCGAGCAGAAATCGCGTACACTGCACAGCAGTCCGGTTTGTTCTACTGTATGGCTGTGAAGCATGGCCATTGAATGTGGAAGACATGAGAAGGCTTCAGGTGTTTGACCACCGTCGCCTTCGTAGTTCAAGCCGTATTCCGTGGTGTCACCACGTGAGTAACGCAGAGGTCAGGAGTAGAGTTTTAGGGAGAAGAGGTAAGTCGGTTGACGAAGTTGTGAACCTCCATAGACTGAGATGGTTGGGACACGTGTTATGTATGCCTAGTCACACAATGTTGGTTGAATTGGGTCCAGGCTGGAAAAAGGCCCGAGGTGGCCACACTAAAACATGGCATCAATGAATGAAGTCTCTGACTGTTGGTTTGAGCCATGTGGGGCGATGTAGATTGTGGTTGAGGTCCGTGGGACAAGAGGAACCAGGGGTTGGAGACTCTAGGTGATATGGCTGAGAACCGACGTCAGTGGCGCAGATGTATACACACATTATCCTCTTCTTAACGGCGCTACACCGAATCTCACCACTTCCTCATTCTTCCTTTCTCTCTTCTCGTACTTTATATTCCTTCTGACTGCGTTCTCTTATCTTCGTCTTGCGCCTCATTGCCTTTTTACTTGATGTACTGATATGGGGTGTGACAGTTTTGTGATAGGGAATGTCAACCATTTCACTTACTTAGGGAGTCATATCAGCCCGAATAGGTTGGTTGTTGACACAATTTCAGCTCGGATACGGAAGGCCCGTTCGGTATTTGTCAATTTGCGTCATCTCAGTGGATGTAGTCTTTGGCATCTAATCTCTGAACATTTGTGCTAACGGTTATCTTGAAACTGTTTATTCTCTTACACAGATTTATATAATTTGATGTCTTTCTTTTCCTATCCACCTGTTCTTCTTATAGTGCTTTGTGGCTGCTTGTGCTGATGCACCTGTGTGTTTGGTGTCGGTAGTTGAGTAATCTGATTGATCTATGCTCGGGCTTGTATATTGATTTTTTTTGTTTTCCGGTGTGCAAATTTTTTTTCTGTGTTTTTTTTTCGTTTCCTTTGTTACATGTCATGAAAAATGTGGTCTTAGTTAAGTAATTTTGCACACAAGTTTCATGGTAAACTGATGAGGAATAAACTATGACAAATTCGTTGCTGAATGCAGAGTGGAAAATTCAAATCTGGTATCGTTTATTAAAGGAGACCTGGTTTTAACTGCAAGCCTACAGGGCAAAAAGCGGGTGTTCAAAGTAATTGTTTCTCGCTCTCATTTGATACAGGAGATTTATTTATATATATGTAGTGTTGTTTCATCTGATTGGAACTAGATTTTTGCTAGTGTTAGTAACTCCGTATCAATGTCAAACTTGTCTGAATTTTTCTTACTCATTTTTTCAGAGCATGTAAATTGTTCAGTGATACCAACAGCCTTTGGGTTAGACTGATTTGATAGCAAGTAATTGAAACAGACGGTGCTTTTAAATCTTCATTGTTGAGCCCTAACAAAAACTTTCTACATCATCAATATGTACTTAAAAGTCCTTCAATAGTTTAAGTGTTTATCAAAGAAGTGTGGATATGGTATTTAATTTCTTCAGTCCTTATTTTCTAAATCCTAAGAGCTTTCTTTATGTGCTTAATAATTGTCTGAATTTACGTATTTTTCTCTCCGACCAACGATAAAATTGAAGTAACGTTAGTCTGTAAATAGATTCGATATCTTTACTTTGTATGCCATACCAACTGATATTGCCACGTTTAATAGACTTAGCCGCAGACGTAAGGTGTAAGTAATAGGATGTTTTTATGCTTTTCTTATTGGTTAATTCTCAGTTTTTGCGTGATAACATGATGGATCAAACATTCAAGTGGATGTGTTTTCACTGTGCTCATTCAATTTATGACATAAAAGTCTGATTTCTTGATGTTATATGTGTTATGTAAAAACAGTACTTCTTTTGAGTAACAGCTCTTTTGTTTTTTATTTCTAAATAGGAAATTTTATCTAGATCTTTTTGAAGACGGCTTTCACTATTGCTGTCTCCCTTTATTTCCAGTTTATTTTCCCATGAGGTAAGCTTGTGGTTCATTCTTCTCATTCGTAGTCTTTCTTGGCCATGCTATCTCAAAGACTGTGTATCACCAAAGTGGAAATCTGAGGAGCATTGTGCAGAATTTTGGAATGGGACTTCAAAAAGCTATGGTTTTAAGTTTTTAACATATGGAGAATTTCAGAAGTATTCAGATGAATTGGTGGAGTTCTTTAAACGACACCTAGTTTTTGAACCCAACGAAAATAAAACACCGGTTGTTGCAGTGGTTTGGGCACCACATATACTGACAAGTGTTGTGATTCATGGCATTGTTAAATCGGGGTTCCCTTTCTTTCCGATCCTACATGCTACAGCTTCCTTTGACCTGGTAACGCTTCAAAATCATATTGATGTCATTGTTGTACTTTGTAACCCCTCTGGAATTACTCCTGTCGATGGTTTCTTAAAGTATCAAAGTAATGCCACAAATACAATTGATAGTTTGTTTTCTCGGGATGACTGGTGTTTATTCCTTCGTACCAGCTTATTTTGCCCGCAAATTGATTGTTTTACAAGTCCAATTACAGCCCCCAATAGTCATCTAATATACATAATTAGCACCTCCGGAAGCTTCAGTAATGAGCGAAAACTAGTTTGTGTGGCAGATAGTTGCTTAACATCCAATGTCATAGACTTAGGAACACGATTCCCTGGAGATGAGAATTGTAATTCGGAAGATAGTTGTGTGGTTTTGGCTTCACCTCTGACGTTTGATCCAAGTATTGTGGATATTTACTTCGCTCTCCTAACCCATCGTAATTTAGTCATGTGTCCTTCTTCCATTCTCAGTCATCCCAAAAGTTTATCCGTCCTATGCATGAACGCAAATGTTGGTTGGTTGCAATGCACTCCTAGTCAACTTTTTGGACGCAATCGCCGTCATCTCAAGAGGCTTTTATCACAGCCGAACTTCATATTACTGCTTGGTGGAGAACCGTTTCCTATGAGTGACTTAAAAAGCCTCAGAAGTTATAAGGCTGCACTGTACAGTATTTATGGAACTACTGAAGTTTCTTCATGGGCTTTGTTGTTCAAAATCAGTGCTTCAAATATAGATTTTGCCAATAATGACGTTCATTGCGAATGTTCACCTCCTTTATATGGATCTTCACCTCTCGGATTTCCTATGCTAGGGACTACTTCCTCATTGATTCCGTCTACCATCGAGAATGTTTGGGAGCTGGGATTGTCCCGTGAATTTGGTGGTTTTGCTGTGATACGTCCCAAAGGATCGTCAGTTACTATCGAGGAACTTTCTAATGCACTTTCGCAGCTAGCCGTCAAAAATATGTGGCCAACTGCTGATTTGGTTCAGTATGGTGAATGTGGAAGCTGTTTATGGTTTTTGGGTAGGAAAGACCGCGTGATTAAACGATTCGGATACCAGATATGTTTAGAACGTTTAGAACATGCTATAAAAATGTGTACATTACCAGGTGTCGAAATTAATAACTGTAGGTGCCAAATTTCCGAAAGATCAGCTAGTCGGAACTCAATCATCGCATTCATAGAGGTTGGAATTCACTCTTCTAAAGCTCCTGTTAGACTCTCAAAATCCTCAACTTCTAATCACTGGAAAAGTATCAAGTTACATATCATTAAGAAACTGAAAACAATTTTCCTACCGAACCCTCAGCCTTGGTTGCCGACTCACTTTGTTTTCTCTACGCGCTCCTTACCAATTTCAACCCATGGGAAATTAGTTTATAAACCTTATAAGTTTTTCAAATTTGCAACTTTAGCAAAGTCTAGGATTATTGCCATATGGAATGAATCTCTTGGATTGAACAGCATGAATATAAGTCACAGACGTATGACATTTCTAGAAGCAGGCGGTTCGTCATTGATGGCATTAAATCTTGTTGAGACACTGATTCAAGAGTTCCCTACGTTGGCTCGTAGAAGGGACAAACTCATATCTTTAATATTTACACACCCGTTTGTTTGTGTATGTGAGTTCATTTTCCGGTCTTTTTCCACTTCTGCGAAAACAAAATTCATTTTTCGAAATTTAGTTCGGTTAAAACACTCGATCAAAGTAAATTTCAACATAAAATTCTAAAGAATATTGAATACGATAACTGGGATCCGTTCAATGTTTTTACAAGTGGCTCCTTGTCAAAAATATCTAATTTAGGACACAGAGTTTCCCTGAAACTGAGATGGCAACATGATTTACTTAAATGTGTGGATGCATCACCTTTGATAGTGTCTACTTCTGGGAGCATATCGAATGGATTCGCATTTGTTGGCAGCCATTCTGGTTTATTTTCTGCTCTACATGTCCCAGATGGCCATCCAGTTTGGTTGCTCCCCACGGTATCTTTACCCGGACGTATTGAAGCTTCTTCTGCATTTGCATATGTAGGAGGAAGTACCGTACTTGCAGTCGGGACTTTAAGTGGAAATTTGTGTACCGTCGATTTCGAACATGGGACTTTGTTGTGTTCTTATGACACTGGTGGTGCTGTAAAGTCTCCTGCTTCATATTTACGTGACTATGGATTTTTAGTAGTTGGTTCCCATGGTAAACTAGTTCATGCCCTAGACTTACGTTCTATGAAAGAATTGAAACCCGTATGGACGAATCGTTTTGATAACTCACCTATTGTTTCCCCTATTTCTTTATCATATACTTCTCAAACCAGTGTACCGTATCTTATAATTGGGAGTCTTGGGGGATCTTTTGGCTGTTTAGACCCTAGAAATCCTACTCAATTAGTATGGATGCAAAATGCGAAGGCCCCTATTTTCAACAAACTCCTATCATATGTAGGTTTCGACAATAAGGTTAATGTCATTGTAGCTGCGGTTAGTGGGAAGATTCAATCTTGGTCTGTACTGGATGGAAATATCAACTGGAGTTATGATTGTTCAGAGAAATTAAATGGTCACGCAATATTTTCGGATCCTGTTCTTGATTTTCAAACAAATAATGTTATCTTAAGTACAAATAAAGGTTTCTTATTCGCATTGAATGTTTTCAGTGGTAAATTAGTATGGATGCTAGATTGCCGATTTGCGTCATTCCCCAGCAATTTATGCTCACTGAATACACCATCTTTATTACAAATCGATGCTTTTCCAAATGTAAACAACTGTTTGCTAGTCGAGACAAGAGCAGATGGCATGCTTTTTGCATGTTCTTTACCTCCGTCAAATACCTCAAAACTCTCTGTCCAACTTGAATCTCCTAGTATATTGTCAACCTATCGTCTACCCAGTCAATGTTTTTCTTCTCCAGTTTTATATTCCCATAACTCGAATGATGTATTTGTTGTCACTGGGTGTAGAGATAATCATGTTTATGGATTGTCGTTGTGATTTATCTTTATCGACAGAATTATGTGCACATATATGTTTCATAATAAATGCTTGTATTTTTTTGTCAATCAGTTTCGAAATACACATATTGTTTAGGAAGACTGAGAAGACGATTTTGGTTTAATTTTCTAAGAGTTTTAGTGATTTTCACAAAAACTAGCTGTCATAACTTCCTAAGAGTAAGAAGTTGAGAAAAGAAGCAAGCGATAAGTTATCTCCAGTTTTATATTTAGATTATGGACAATCCCTAGAAATTATGCTATTTGAATATCATTACTAGTTGATAACAGTGCGAAAGTCTTTCGAAGTAGCCTCTTAAAATCAAGCTAATTTTATACAGTTGCTAGCCTTTCATATTTATTTGTTGCAATTGACTGCCTTTTTTGGTCAGTTTCTTTCGACTAGATTAATAAGACTTAACTTGCATGTTCTGATTTTATTTTTCTCACACATAGGTTGCATAATCTTCCGGAGTTGATAAGTATTCATTTAGATAACTCCGTGATTTTGACCTACCATTGCAGCAAGTTCCGCTTCTTACTTCTAGTAGATCATTTTAACAGGTTTTTATTGTCCGTCTTTAAAGTCAGACGGACAAAATCATCGTAGAACCTTACACACAACTGTATCGGTTCAAGTTGCGTGCAAACAACATGTGGATAGAAAAAGACAGACATTGAAGTAAACAACGTTGTGTGAGAGAATAAACAACTTTCAAATAAAGGTTAGTGCATATATTCAAGCTTTAAAAGATGTTGAAGAGTGAGTATGTCTATGCCACTGAGACCGACTTTCAGCCATGTCACTGAGAGTTCTCAACCACCGATTCCTATCGTCTCCAGCATCCCATCCAGATAGTCTACATCTCCCTACACGACTCACTAACAATCAGGGACTTCGTAGACTGATGCCACGTGTTGGTCTGGTCACCGCAAAGTCCCTGACGACCTAAATCAACTTCCACTAGCACTGCACTTCGAATTAAGCGGTTGCTCGCCATGCAAAGCACATATCCAAGTGACCTCAGTCGATGAAGGTTCACAGCCTCATCAATCGACTTACCTAGCTTGGATAGTTCTCTCCCTTCGCCTGACCTCAACATTCCTCACATGGTGCTTTCACCAAACGTGAGCAATGCCACGAAAACATGATCAAAACACTGCAACCACGTCTTGTCTTCTACTTTCAATGAACATACCTAACGGCAGTATAACAGCATAGAAGGAACTGCAACACAGCATACTCGTTCCTTCATAGATTGTTTGGTTACCTCGCAGGTCAGCTCCAGAGATGACATGAGTTGGCAAATGCCAAACGGGTTTTCCGTATCCGAGCTGAAATTGTGTCAACAACCAACCTATTCGGGCTGATATGACTCCCTAAGTAAGTGAAATGGTTGACATTCCCTATCACAAAACTGTCACACCCCATATCAGTACATCAAGTAAAAAGGCAATGAGGCGCAAGACGAAGATAAGAGAACGCAGTCAGAAGGAATATAAAGTACGAGAAGAGAGAAAGGAAGAATGAGGAAGTGGTGAGATTCGGTGTAGCGCCGTTAAGAAGAGGATAATGTGTGTATACATCTGCGCCACTGACGTCGGTTCTCAGCCATATCACCTAGAGTCTCCAACCCCTGGTTCCTCTTGTCCCACGGACCTCAACCACAATCTACATCGCCCCACATGGCTCAAACCAACAGTCAGAGACTTCATTCATTGATGCCATGTTTTAGTGTGGCCACCTCGGGCCTTTTTCCAGCCTGGACCCAATTCAACCAACATTGTGTGACTAGGCATACATAACACGTGTCCCAACCATCTCAGTCTATGGAGGTTCACAACTTCGTCAACCGACTTACCTCTTCTCCCTAAAACTCTACTCCTGACCTCTGCGTTACTCACGTGGTGACACCACGGAATACGGCTTGAACTACGAAGGCGACGGTGGTCAAACACCTGAAGCCTTCTCATGTCTTCCACATTCAATGGCCATGCTTCACAGCCATACAGTAGAACAAACCGGACTGCTGTGCAGTGTACGCGATTTCTGCTCGACGCGTTCAGAGGACCCTGCATTTGTTAGTGTCTTCACGTGGCAGGACAATGCATCCTGTATATTCCAAGTCAATCCCGTGCCTTCCAGGGAGTGGATCAATCCCTGTGAAGTCAGAGGGACCTAAGGTTATATGCATTAGTGCAGCCATAACGAAATTAAGTAGGAACGGTGGCAGTTGGCATCCCTGCTGGACACCATTAGTTGTCGTCATTTCCGATGACAACTCTCCGTATATCCCCTTACATGACTGCATAAGTTCGAGTAGAGAGCTTTGGTTAGCGTTATACATTTGCTCGGTACTCCCTTCACAGTGAGACACCGCAACAACAACTCACGGTGGAAATAGTCAAATGCTGTCTTCATGTCAAGAAATATGTTAAGCAAGTGTTGGCCGGCAGTAAGTACACCTATATCCCAAAGCATATTGGAGGGTGGAAATATGATCGATGCACCCTCGTGCAGGTGTCGAACCCACCTGCTTTCCTCGAGCTTACTGTTCTCAAGCTCCAGTTAGGCGTCGGATAACAATAAACCCAAGTATCTTGGACACGATATGACTTAAACCGATCTCCTTACGGTTTTCATAGGAAGACTTCTCTCTCTTCTTATAGTCTGGAATGATCAGAGAAGTAGACGAGTTTGATGGCACTACCTCTGATCCCCACTCACTACCTATCACCTCCGTCACCTTAAGTAGCAATTTCCTACCTCCATCTTTGGAAACACTAAGTTGCAAACTGTAAGGTTCAGCTGCGTTGCGTCGTTTCAAGCTCCATAAACCTTTCACAACTTTGACGAGAGCTGTATGTCCGATTAATGCCTTTTCCATCTCTCTTGCTTTCACCATGGGCCACTGCTCGCGATCAGTGATACGAATTTTCTTCAGTTCACGTCTATGTTTGTTTCGCTCTTCATCGTGTTCGGAGTCAGCTGGAATCAGCCTTCTCACAGTTCGGATGACGTTGTGGAAATCCAATGACGTTTGCTAACCTTCAGGTGTGGGCTGCCAGTTGTCTGTATCATCTTTTTCTGGTTTTTTCAAAGTTATTCCTGTGGGAGCTGTTTTCGGATTCGCACAGCGTAAATGGGTATTAGTTTTCTGCTTATGTGAACGAGAAATCGTTTTGTTTGACGGTCGCTCCATATTATATCTTCTTGAGGCCTGTTATACACGACTTTTTGTGAGTTGTTTCGAGGATGATAGAAACCTTATGCTGTCACTGGAAGGTCTTGGGGCAGGGTGGAGTGTGATATTTTTGGGCAGCCTATTTTGCTTTTAGGGATGGCAGCATCATAATGACACTACTGGTCATCCGCGGGGAACTTCTTACTGCTGTCAGACCCCAGCCAGCAAGGAATGTGATTTCGCTCCTAGATCCCCATAACGTTGCGGCAGTTAACACCGTGGTTAACTTCTTTTCGTCTGGCCACTATGCAACATACTTTTTTTGCATGGTAGGACCTCAAGGGGACAAGCGTTTCACACAGTGTAGCTCGTTGGGTCATTGTGATATGCAAGCCAGACCAGCTCATGAATGTAGAAGCTATCGTCACATTGAAAGACTTCTCACTTTTTCCATCCTCCACATGTGGTGGAGATTCTCTAAAACTTATTTTTAAATCGCTCGTTTGTAACTGACTACTAGCATTTATTTATGTCTGTTATTGAAGACATTTATCCTTAATGGCACAATTTTATAGGTGCTCACATTAGAACGTTTGTTTATCAGTTTGTTTACTAGATGCAACACGTTGTCCAGTGTTTGTCACATCAGCGTATATGTAATGCATGCACTCTCTTCAGCCGCTTTGAAATGTGTGACATATGATTATTATGATGCATAACATGCCATACCACGTACTTTGATAAGCGAACAAGAAAGTTTCGATTGAGAAGGGAAATAACGGAGATTTCGGTTAGCTGAAACTGATGAAGGTTCTAAAACGACTCAAATATTTACTATTTGTGCATTATGTTCTATATGTTTATGAGCAGTTGAGGAGAATTCAGGAAATAAATGCATGGTAGTTTTGCTACGTTTGTTCTCATTGCCGTATTGAAATTCCTGAAAGGGAAGAGTTATATGGAGATAATCACATTTATAAATAATTCGAAGCTCCTTATGAATGGGAGCTTTAGTTCTAGAATTCCAGACAGAATATAGTATCTAACGTCATACTCATCCCTTAAGTTGTGATTAAGGTTCATTGAATGATCATACTTTGTCATACGTGACAATGTTATTCAACTTTCTGCTACCACTGTCAAGGGTGCAGGAAAGTGTTTCTATTTAATAATAAATCAATAACTCGCTAACACTTTTGAATAATGTTTGGATTTCAAAGTATTCATTCCGGTGCAACAGTTTTCGTAATGGTTTCAATCTCGACGCATATGTAACTCGGCACCCAACATTTGCGATACTTTTCGGTCAAATCTTGACCACAGTTCATATAAATGAGATCCCTTAATAAAAAAAGAGAACTGATAATGGCAATTTATCCATTTGCTAATTATCTTTTTCTGCACGTTATTCTGCTGGATTCTTGCACTTTATATTCCCCTCCAATATTGTTGATTCTCCCTGCCTAATTTCTCACCAATCGACAGTTATCACTTCTAATTTTGCCACAGATACTACGTAAATCCATTCCTATTAGTAGCTGTACCTACATTCATGTTGTCTTCGATATTTTTAGTATCCTTTTAGTGATTTTTACTGTAATACACCTCGTGAGCTGGTCGCAAACATAAACTTGGTTATCGGAAATAACTGTTCCTGCATTCTCTTTCTTCAGCTGAGATTTAGATCACTAGACTTCGGATATATTTCTGCATTTTGGGTGAGGTACATAAAGTGGTGATCGGAAACTAAGGTCAATGTAAAGTTTTTCCGTTCCAGCTAATTCGCACACTGTACATATGAGTGAAGCAAACGAAC